ATGGAAGCTTCGGTTGCATTCGGGTGTAAAGCAAAAATCACTAAACTCAATCTCACCACAGTTTGGTGAGATTTGCAGTTGGTGATTTTTGTTAGCTTGATATTCCGAGCTACGATATCACAGCTTGCAAAATCAACCGCAATTGTTGATTTTTATCTAGGAAAATCAATCATGATCTTGGGTGTTGGTGAGATTTGATTTTTGGATATTTTCCCAACACTGGCCAAAACATTGAGTTTCATTTTACACTGGCTTCGAAAACCTCCAAACAAACGTTTGCCCCACTCGTGCTTTTGCCCTACCTTACTCTATTAGATTCTAAGGCATCGATGTTTAGATTCGATTGCATTTTTGAAACACAACCTCAACGCACAAACACGACGACGACAACATTTGACAAGCGCCTTTCGTCCGGAAGGTGCAACGCCAGCACGCAGCAAGCAAGGGAAGAAAAAAATGCACAAACAGAGCACGATACGAACTGAACTGCTTACGTTGAAAGCTAAACGCGAACTCCGATGTTTTCTGCTAAAACTACGTGCTAGATCACGTATGACCTGGTGACATGATCTCAGACAGGTGTCTCTGAACCTTTCCAGGATGAAAACTCTCCGTTCTTCTAATGTTTGAATTCCAGCCAGAAGGTGGATCTCAGAATTTCAAGTTCGCGAGGGACTGTTTAAAAACATCTTAAGGATCTTGTTCTGGATCCTTTGGAGTTTAAGGTGATGGCATTTTGCGCAACTCTCCCAGATTGGCATACCGCACTCGATTACAGGAAGGATAATTTGTTTGTAGACAACAAGCTTATTTTTCAGGGACAGGGTTGACTTCCTGTTGATAAGTGGATACAACGATCCGATTGGTTTGCTGCCTGGTGTTAGCCCCAGGGTACAAGACCTCTTTGGACCATTTCACCACTGTGCCGGTCAGGCAGATCTTGTTATTCTCCGACGGAACAAGCCTGGAAGATTTAGAGTGTGGAAAGATGTCTTTGCCACGTTGATACGGATCTTCCAGCTTTTGAAATATTCAGACAAGACGTCCAGGCCTCTCTGAAGTTTGGCAGTCAGAGCTCCGATGGCCCATCAACTCATGAACCGGGGACCAACGGCTTTACTTCTCTTCCGAAGGAAGGCGTGATCAGAGATGTTATGCCTCAGAACATCCCGGCGGCGCCAACTGGGATAGAACCCAGGCCTGCTGGGGTGAGAGGTAATCATGCTTACCACTACACCACCGGCACCGCTGTAATGCATCCGATGTGATAGTTGTTTATTATCTTCACTAGGAAGATTGGAAGACCGTATTACTGTAATTTGAACACCAGGCCATCATTCCAGACATTGTCGAACGCTTTTTCAACGTCCAACAACGCCATGGCAGATGTTTTCGAAACAGACTTGTTCCGTCTGAGAATGTTTGTTACTCGAGTCAGCTGGTGGTCGGTCGAACGACCTTTCCAAAAACCAAACTGTTCCTCGAGTAACAAGTTGTTTTCTTCGGCAGATGTTAGGAGCCGGTGGTAGACTGCTCTTTCGAACAGTTTTGATAACCCTGAGAGAAGGCTGATTGGTCGATAACTTGAAGGAGAGGACGGATCCTTCCCAGGTTTCTGGATGGGTATGACTTTAGCTGACTTCCAACACGAGGGGAAGTAGCCAAGTCTGAGGCACTGATTAAAAATCAGTGCCAGATGGTTGTAGAATCTGGAACTCAAGTGTTTGAGTTCCAGATTCAGGATGTTGTCGAAAACTGGGGCCTTTATGTTTTTAGATGATTTGATATGGGCCAACAGTTCGTCAGCCGTAATCTCGGATTCCTCTGGAAAAATGTTAGGAATCTGAAGAAGATTGGTTGCATTTTCAGCAACCTCAGATTCATGAGGGCTGACGATGTTTTTTCCGAGATTATGTGAGCTGACGAAGTGTTGACCTATCGTGGCAGCCTTCTCTTCAGGAGTTATCAGATGAACCACTGGGTCGCCGGGACGATCCAGTGAGGTCAGTGGTGGAATGGGCCTATGCTTGTTTTTAAGATTTTTTGTAAGTTTCCAGAAGGGCTTAGCACAATCTGGGAGAGAGCGGATCTTACTAGCAAAATCTTTATTTCTGAGTTCTACCATCCTGGCCTGAATGATCTTTGTTAATTGATAACAATTGGTCTTCAAGTTAGGCAGGCCAGTACGCTGGTACTGCCTACGAATGGTGTTACGGAGTCTAATGAGATCTTTGGTAGGGCTTTCAAGGTTCAGAGTGTCACTCACCTGTCTAGATACTGGCACCTGTTGTTCCCTGGCCCGGGAAATCACCTCCTCGATGGTTTGTAGACACCGGTCAACATCTTCGGACGTCCCCAATTGGACATCGTAGTCGATGGTTGTGTCGACACAGTGTTGATATTGCGCCCAGTTGACTCGATGGTAGTTGCGCCGGGAAGCTTCGAATCGGTTTACCGAGGATCCAACTTCGGCCACCAGATGACTAGGACGGATTGCCGGGTATTGTTCGTCCGTGATGGCTGGTGGTGCACGTTTATTTCGATGCCAGCCTGGCTGGTTGCTAGTAGCCACCTTCTTCCTCATGGTGATGAATTCCGTCCGCTTGGAGCAGTCCCGAGTAGTGGCACGGTGAGTTCCGCCGCAATTCACGCACTTCGGGTCAGTGTCATCAGCTTGAGCACAGGTCGCCGTCAAGTGGGCCATAGCACACTTGTCGCAGCGTGGTTTCATATAACAGTTCTTCGTGCCATGCCCGAAGGAGAGGCAACTTGTGTATTGGGTCACATCACGGTGTTGCGGCTTGTAGTATTCCCAGTCGATAATGACCTGAAACAGGTCACGTATGTTGCTCTTGAGTGCAGCAGGTGGTGGAGCCCTTCGTGAGGTGGACCAGAAACAGTTGGTCACGATAGTTGGTATTGGGCATATGCCGTTGATTCATTGGGTGGACTGCCTCTGGTTTCAATCCGAGCCTCACCAGTTCATCTTTTACGGTAGCCGCTTCGTACGACGGCAGACCTCGTAAAACAACCTTCAATGGTTTCATCGAAGGCAAATCGTGAGTGTAAAACTCCACTGTACTGATCTTCAGCAGGTCACTGACTGACTTGTACTGCTGTAGGCTGGAGCACATGATCTTTGTTGCTACGCTACAGATCTTGAATCGCGGGAACAATTTGCGCTTTGCCAGCTCATCCCTAAGCTGGGCGACGTCCTTCATCGGGGTAAACAGCGGGGGAATCCGCTCCTTTTTTGCAATTTTAGCGGCGTCACCACCGCCATTTTCTACTCCGAGCACCGAGAATTGGTTGCTCTGTAGAAGCCGATTTTCTGCATCATCCGAAGCAGCGCTGGGATCCGTTTGGGCCTTCTTGCTAGGGCCCTCCGATGCAGGAGCCGTTAGACTTGCCAATGCGCCTTTCGATGACGGCACTTCCACGACGCGAACGTAGCAATAAAACGAACTAGAAAAAACTCGATAGCAAAGCGAACGAACGAACGAACTATACTCTGAGACGATGTTTTCTGAATAATCTTGCCCCTTTAATACCGCAAAGTAGGCCTGTCCGTTTTGGTATGTGTTGCACATCTCTGATGGGTAGCATATATCAAATAGACAAGAAAAACGATGAAGCTATATCCATCATTTTCCAAGATGCTTTCAAGAACTGTCTGCGAGGGTGTTGGATTAGATTCTACAAAACAGAACTCTTATAAAACCCACATTGTTACTTGGGAAGTGGCTTCTGGGATCTTTTGCGACTCTCTACATAGTGTTCTAGAAGTACTTCCTCAGTTATTTATTGAGAGTTTTCTATGCTAAGTAATGTAGGAATTTGTATATTGTGTGGCAAGCGCAATATATAAATTCAGCAATCGACTAAATTTTCAATAGCGACCAAAAATATCCATTAGTACCGTCCTAATGACGCGTTTATCTAGATAAATTTGATAAATAGCAGACCTTTAAGGAATGGGCCCAAATTAGGGACATGTAGGCCGACATTACCTACATTTCCCATATATATTTGTTTTATATATTTATATTTATTTAATTCAGAGGAAGCCAATACAAAGTCTAGGGGAAGCCATAAGTAAGTTCAGGGGTCTTTGAGATAAACTTCCGGGGATCGTTGATATTTTTAAAACAAAGTTCCGTGTGAAGTAGAGAACACTTCTGTGTGAAGTCTGGAAACATTTTCAATGGAAATAATATGGATAAACTTTGCTGTTCTAGAACGTTTTGTTGCACAGTATAATCGTTCGACAGAAGTGAAAACAAACATCAAACTAAACTGGGTAACAATATTGCCTGGGAATTCCTGGGAATATCCATCAGTTTTTTCATTTCCCGGGTACCTGAAAATGGCCGCGAAATTGAAACATTAGGCCATATGATCCTTCACGGCTATACGATACATGTAACTGAATTGTAAGCTCAGCAACTATAATCATGCTTGACGGATATATCATGTTCGTTGCTTCATGGCCCATTTCAGTGTCATCGTACATGATGCTTTCATTAGCGGCATTCATAGGCATCATTATACATCATATCTGTCATGTTTGCATGTAGAAGTGACAAAATATCATAGCATCACTATGCGTCGGAAATTCCACGCCATCTTTCTCGCTCATCATACGTTAGAATGCAATGAAGGCATCTATTTTGAAACGCTCCTATCCATAACGTGGAATGTGCGAACGAAATATTGCGAAAATATTTTCCAGCATCGCGTAATGCTTTCCCTCCATGCCACGAACGAAATCATAATGCATCAAGCACCGTACAATGTTGAAACTAGGGTGTAATGTTTCGGAGGCTGTAGTTACGCTTTACACATTCATATAAGTGAAACGCTGTTACATTTCGAACAAAGCTAACTCACTTTTCCTTATCATTTCTTCCCAGGTACTCAAATCAATAAGAGCATTCAGATGAAGAGACAAATCCCACGAGCGAAAATCGTTTTTAATCAAATGAAGCATTTGACTTCATAACGTATGCATCGGAACAAGTGTCCCAGCAAAACAGGAATAACAGTGTGAAAAGAGACAAAACCCGGTCCGCGAACGTGATAAAAACATAAATCAAAGTGTATCGATATTAAAAATGCATCTGACTACGAACAATACGACGACAAACAGCGGTAACACGAACGGGAACAACGTCGGTAGCAATAACAATGGTGCCGGAAGCGGAGGTGGAAGTAGTGGCGGAGGAGGTGCATCAGGAGCGGGAACCAATAGCAACAACAATAACAACAGTAGTAGTAGCAATAATAATAACAACAACAACAACGGCACTAGCAACAACAATGGTAATGGGGCAGCAGCTGGAGAAAATGGTCCACCGTCGGCCGCCAGCATACTGCAGGACACCTACACAAAGATGACGTCTGATATACTGGCCGAACGGACGCTGGGCGATTTTCTCTCCGAGCATCCGGGCGAACTGATTCGAACCGGGAGTCCTCTGTTTGTTTGCACGGTGCTGCCACCGCACTGGCGATCGAATAAAACACTTCCGGTTGCGTTCAAGGTCGTTGCGCTCGGGGACGTCGGCGACGGGACAATGGTGACGGTACGGGCCGGTAATGACGAAAATTATTGCGCCGAACTGCGAAACTGTACAGCTGTGATGAAGAACCAAGTGGCCAAATTTAACGATCTCCGATTCGTGGGGAGAAGCGGACGAGGTGAGTTACTTCTTAAATTCTGGTGACAACCTGCTCATTTTCACCCCCCAATTTATCTTTAATTAACTTAATGTCTCGAAAAATCGACCCTCAAAAAACTTCCAGACGCCCAGCTTGCGCCGGCACTTTTTTCCCACGACAATCAAAGACCTACCTCAATAAGAAGTATTTCTTACTAACACAGGACGAGCCAGCACTCGTTTCTTCTCCCTTTGACGCTAGGGTTTTTACAGTCTTTCTCACTTTGTCGTAGGAAAAATTTCCCGGAAAATCTATGCAGTATTTTCTTTTTTCGCCTCTGTTTTGTCGAAACGCGCGTGCCGACTCGACGCCCGTCTCCCCCGCCGTGATTTACTTCCAACTGTTGCTGTCGTTTCTTTCGCCAAGGGTATTATGTCTGTCTTTTCTTCTTATGTACAGCTTTTAAGGTACGCACCGAGGGCGAGACGGCAAGAGGAAGCAATTTCTTTCCGGTATCTTTCCCGAAAAAAGTGATGTGAATGCCGGGTAAGAAGGGACAGTTTCCTTTGCCTTAGAGGAAGTTCTTTGTTAGACTAGAGCAACTTGAATACAGTAGCTTCCTTTTTATTTAGGGATCAGCTAAGACTGGTAATGTATTAAAATTTATCCAGACAGCATTGGTATAAAACTGGAGAAAAAATAACTGATGGAGTCATGTTGCCAAAATCGGGAATGCACTGTATTTGCTTACTTAATAGGTCTTATTCTGTAATCATTGGAAAATGATGACATGTTTTACTGGTAAAAACATGTTTTGTACAAATTTCAAGCAATCATTGAAAACACCTATCGTTGTTTTCAGATCTGCATGGAATTTTGAGACAACATGTATCTGTATGATGATGTTGTTCATGAGTAGGTCAATCAAAGTGTACAAATTGAGTGCCTGCAGTAGGTTAGTGACGACATCTTAACCCAGTTCAATGTAAAAGAAAAAGGCATCCACCCTAATTAATCCACCTACCAGGGACAAGTAAAGGCACTTCGTATAAAACAAAAATATTATCTGGCTTCATGTCAGGTTCTGGTCACGGAGGATGGGCATCAACAACATATCTGGGCTTAACCAATGTTTCCTTAAGCACTCAGTATTACCGCCAGTGATCCATTGTTTTAAGAGATTTAATGTTGAGATACTAATATTTTTATTTTTAAACCATTTATTTGTCGTTAACTTTGCGAAACCGTAATTCAATGTACATTAAGAAGATTTCTGGGGCCTCCCTTAGCGCAGTTGGTTAAGTCGCAGCTACAAACCAAGAAAAGTTCGCGAAATTTGATCAATTAACATAATTTTAAGATTAATGTAAAATTACAAGCTCCTGTCTGCACTATGATTTCTTAAAAAAAAATACTAGTACATGAATTTAAAATAAAATAAATTGATTTTTTTTTAAATTTTTCAACACAACACTCAAACATTGAAATTTTATAAAAACGCCAGAAAATTTAAGAGAAAACCAAATGATTTTCAGTATATAACAATACCATACAACCAAAAGTTTCGAGCTCATGGACAAGCTTGTAATTTTTTGGACTTCAAAATAAAATCGTCATTTAAGACCTTGGAAAACTAACCTCGACTCATTTCGATAGGAAAATTCTTCGAGAAAAGAAAGTTAGACAAAATTTGGGTTGAAAAATTTCTAATTTCAGTCATAGAAAAATCATGAAAACCAGGTTATTAATTAATTTTCTTCTTACTTTTTAAGATACCTGCTGGTTTTCGAATGTTCATATTCTAGGAAAATGAAAATTATAAAGCATTTATCCAGAATACTTACTAACTTTCCTGATCACGGAGTTTGATAAAAAAAAATCAAGATTAACGTCCCAAATCTAACGTTAATTCTAATCTAATCGAAAGGATTGAAGCTTAAACTTGTATGATTGTGCTCTTGTAAGTAACTAGATACTATTTTAAATTCATTCTGCAAAGGCTTATTTTAATTTTTAATTTAAAATTGAGTTAGTTTTGTTGAACTCGGTATTCGGTACCAATTTATTATTCACTTGTAGTTTATACGGATAAGAGATTTTTGGTTGTTTTTATATCAGTAAAAACACACATAATAGAACGGAAGTTTCATTTAATGTTCTAAGCCATCCCAACATTCCTGGAGTGCTAATTCTTGACAAAATAGCTTAATCACCAGGGTAAGGGTCTTACCTATAGAACATGTACAAACATGTCCATTAAATCTTATTTCATCATTCAAGATTCCATCAGATTCAATTGGCTGGAGTACTTTTGAATACTTTCTGATCAACCTGCAGTCTTGGAAGAATATATGAGAGACATCATTTGTACTTTCTAACAGTTAGAGGTTTTTAGACCTTGATCAACCTGATGTCCAGAAAAAATATCCAAAGAACTTCACTTATGTCTCCGTGCAAGGGCGTAGCCAGGTTTTGAGCTAGGAAGGGGCGAAAAAAAATTACTATGGAAAATTTGGCCTAATGTCATTTCACCGAATGCCATTTCCCCGAAAGCCTTTGTGTTGCTGAGTTTAAGGGGGGCAGTTGACCCCCCTTACCCCTCTCTGGAAACGCCTATGTCTCCGTCTATCTGGGGATGTACTGAATATTTCCTGCTGTCTAGATTAAATGTCTGAAAGAATATCCTGTAAAATATGAAACGTTCTCTCATCTACAAAATGCCCTTAAGTTTTATATAATTTATTCAACTTCTACGAAGTTCTCTGAATTTATTCCAAATTCTATTTTTTTTATTCTACGAAGATATCTGAATATCTTCTGGAAAGACCTCATCATCTAAAAATATTCTTGAATAGGGTTACGGGATGTGATGTCAGCCTAGCCCTTAGCTTAGGCATATCAAACTAATAACTCATTTATTCAGCAATAATACACAATAGTAATGAAAAACTAATACGACATCTTCTGTGAAATTGTGATCCGTAAATTTATTGCCTACTTTTGGGACAAATTTAGAAAATTTATTGTTCTTTTTCAAAGAAAAAGTTTAGTGAAATATTTGTATGTTTCGATTTTTAGGCGCCATGATCACTAACAAAAATCCACATTGCGGTGGCCATCAAAAAACCTGATAATTTCGTGAATTAAAAAGACATACCTTTTTGTAACATGGTAGTCGAATAAATCAATATCACACTGTTCACCCTTACTGTAAATTTAGAAAATTTAACGATTTTTTTGCGTTTTATAACTGTGGACCGAACTTAAGGGACGTAATTTTAAGACGTGTTCCTAATTATGGCCTATGAACTTTATTTGATGAATTTGTTTTGGTATTGGTGAAACCATTCGCGTTGGCGACGACTCTGCAACTTTTCAATCCTTTAGGAAAACCCCATAAGCAAATGTCGAATTTCTTGAAACATAGCGAATCGTTTCTTATCCTTTCACTCCACTGAAAAATCCCGTAGGCCAATTTTGATCTTTGTGGAAATCACGGGTCGACACGATACACATGCTATTTTTTTTTTTCCTTTGGTTTGTTTTTTCCGTCGATCTTGTTTTCCGTGCTGAGCACCAATGCTACCGACGTGCCAGGAAGGCAGCTCCCACACCTGGACCCTACCTATCGACCCATCAACTCATGAACCGGCGACCAACGGCTTTACTTCCCATCCGAAGGAAGGCGTGATCAGAGATGTTATGCCTCAGAACATCCCGGCGGCGCCGACTGGGATTGAACCCAGGCCTGCTGGGGTTAGAGGTAATCACGCTTACCACTATACCACCGGCGCCGTTCCACATGCTATTTCTAAGTAACCCAAATTTGAGTTGACTCTACTCATATCCGTCAAAAGTAGGGTACTGAGAAAACAAAGTTGGGACTGACAAGATGACGAATGGAAAACATCGCCTGACTCCGAACGATGTTGTTCATTTGTCATCTTGTCAGTCCCAACTTTGTTTGCTTAAGTTAAAGTAGCCCTACTTTTGACGGATGTGAGTACATCCCACTCAAATTTAGGTTGTTTAAAAATAGCGTGCAGTAAATCCTGCCATCAAAACAAACTTCACGGCAAATGAAACTGACTCATACTTAGCCCGAGCAGGAGCGAAAATTTCGATACCTTAAATTGGTATGGATGAGCATGACATAAGAGGTAAAATACAAAAAAAAAAAAAAAATACTGAAAAAATATTCCCACAATACCATTCCAATACCAAACTATGCAATTGCAATACCAAAGCAATACAACACAGGTATTCTTTTGGTATCTAAATATCAATTTTAGTTATTTACAAAGTATTTTGCATGCAATTTTTTGGTATTATTCTTTGGTATTTTACTTCTTATGTCATGCTGATCAATACCAAGTTGTAACCGTCCGTCGAATTCGCTTGAAGAGAAGGTTTTTACAATGCAATAGCTTATGCGCCACTCTCGAGATCGAGAGACTACTGGTCGTGTTGAATTGCCCGACTATGCTCTAAAGAGCAAATATTGAGTTCTCAGGGGAGTCTTTGAACCAGGGAAACCCTATCCCTGTCAACCACATATATATGCACCATAGCTCACATGATCTTGACATTTTTGGAAAATCTGACACTTTTGGACATACTGACAGCGGTAAAACTGACGGAGGCACGACAGAACAAGATAGCTTACTTTTTCACACTTGCATTGCAGTGCTGCATGCTAGAAAGAATAGTCTGTTGCAGTCATCCTCCTTACCCACTATATTTATCACATTGATGTGAGCTCCGCCGAAATTCGTGATTGTTGCCCCCGTGCTTTGAACGGTTGATTCTTACGCCGACAGAGCTTTCTAAAATTTAACAAAAAAGTCACGTTTCCAGTCGGTCATACGCCGCTAAAGGTGTGAACGTACTGGGAGAACGAAAAGCGAGGTGAACGTAAACGAAAGTGAATCGAAGTGAACGGAAAGCTTTTACCTAGGGAATGGTTCGTAGCATAAATCAGAACAAAAGGTAATTTCATTTGAATGAACTTTAATTCATTTTAATTCATCTTTTCCAAT